TAGAGCAATTGAATTAGTATTATTAAACTTTTCCCATTTTACTAAAAAACCAAAATAGTATAGGAGAATCTAAGTAACTAACTTTAATTCATTAGTTGGCCATAAAATGTGTCACGTTTCGCATACTTTTTTTCTCAGTGCGAGGAGCAGGAGCAGGGGCAGGACATCCTGGCCAAGGAGCAATTGAAGCTGGAAGCTGGTAGCTGGGAGCTGTGGAAGCGCTTAGGCTGTCAGTCAGCGTGTCAGTTGTGCGGCATTTCATTGGTTTTGGCTCCCACACGATGGCCTCGGCCGAAAGTTGCGGACAATTGACAGCTGGGCAGGACCCCTCCAGAAAGTGTCCTTTTTGGCTCTCTCTCTTTAATTTCGACCCTTCTGCCAGGACCCGCCTTAAAGTACCAAACTAGCCCGCTTTTTGCCCATTAGCTGGCCTTCAGTTGCAGCTGCTGTGCTGTTGCAGCTATTTGTTGGCTGCTTATTAAAAAGTTTGGAGCAGCTGAAAAAATTTGATTAAGTCTGGCGAACTGTGGTGAATTTCGCTAGCTATACCCTACATAAAACTTCATGTGAAAGTAAGAGTTTTATAGTGAAAGGTTAGAAACAAATCATATTTATAGGAAATATCATATACTTAAAATAAAAAAGGAATTTTTATTAGTCTTTATTAAGCAACAACAATTTTTGATGCCATTTTCTTGTATAATATCAAAAATATTACTATAACACTGTGTGGCATATATAGAGCATATAGAGTCTGCCTTGCCAACATCCGTTCAGCCTAATTTTTGTATGAAAAACTTTTCCAAATAATTCCAGTTAGGGCTCGGAATTCGCTCTCGACTGTCGAGCTCGCACTGAAATTACAATGCATTCGAAGTGCCCTGGGTGGGCGGAAGAGTTCAGAGGTCGCAGTGGAGTTGGGCTCCCAGTGGCAGTTGGAGGACTTGTCCCCTAAACTGGCGCACTTTGCATAAATTTCAACTTGAAGCATTGCACTTACTTGACACATTTCGTTTACACAGAACCCACCCATTTCCACCTTTCGACCCCCCCGCCTCACCTCATTCAACTTTGTTGTACTTCATTCGGTAAATGAAAAACACGAGAAAAAGTTTTGTCTTTTGGTCTCTGGGCTCTAGCAACAATTTACCGTTAAAAGCTCAACATTGTTACACTGGTTTTTCACTTTTCACTAAGTACCGGGTTTGTGTTACCCATAAAAAAAAGGGTGCATGAGCAGAATACAGCCGCGGGTGGACTGGGAACTGCAATATACATCCACCCAAGTGCGTTGAGTAATCTGCTCAAGTTTTGCCGGCGTCTTTTGTGCAACGTGCGAAGTTTGTCACTCCGTCAGTGAAAATGGCAAAGGCAACCCGGCAACACTTTGTCCGTGTTCAGTGCATCTTCCATGCAATCCACCCAACAACCCAACCACCCACCTCCGTTTTCCGTAATCCACTTTCCTGGGGAGACATCAGCATATAGTACACCTGGCGAAGGATATCCGGATGGACTGAGGGCGGGGCAGTTGTCGTGTCAACACAAGTTTTGCATTTGGCGATGTGTTTTTCCTCGGTATGTCCTTTTTTTTTTCTTCTTTTTTCTAGTTGTTCGTTGCTCCCTGCAAGTTGTTAAATGAGTTTTCATAGTTTTTCGTGGGTGGTTATGGCACACCCTTTCGCTGTCTCTGTTTGCGGAAAATTAATATTTTCCCTTAGCCCATTTCACTCTTTATAAAGTTCAGCATTGCCACTGGGGTGCATTTGCTTAGCGTCAAAGTTTTCTTTTATAGAGGATTTTTATTAAAACCCCGCGAAGAAGTAACGTTTGCTGAGCGAAAGTTTTTCAAACATAATGGAAGTTATACTTACCAGAGGGACTGGCAATTTATTAGGTAGGGATAACATGTGTTGAAAATTGTATACACTTGGGAATGGATATAAAGTTAAATTCATTTTGATGAAAGTAAGTTTGTGCTTATAGCTTTTAATCAACTACCTAAATTGTTTCAAAATTGGACAAGTTTTTCCATTAAATGGTTCATTTATAACTTAGTTTAGTTTCCATAATCTAATCATTGTTTTAATTCGGCAGAGATCAAGCTGTAATAAATCAACATATTCATAACCTTTAATCAAGCTAATAGCCACTAGATGAACATTGGCACTAATTAATCAGTTGCTATATAATAACCGTCATTAAACTAAACAAACACATTGCGCCATTCAGAGTTCGCCGTTCGCATAAATTTCAATACGCAACCAGGTACAGAACACTTAACCCATGATACCCCCAAAAGCCGCCCCATCAGAATACATTTCCAATTAACTGAGGGGCGCCCATTCTCCCACTTCGCCGAAACTCACCAACTTCCCCTCGCTGAGGGGTAGCCAATTCGGTAAATAATAATACCCGGGCAAATGTTTAATGATATGAAATTAATGCGCAAATATCAGAGGCTTCTTTGCCATTAAAGCGAATAGTAAATGGAATACAATTTCCCGGATGGAACCGTTCGAGAATTTTCACAGCTGCGATGGCGCCGCCAGGTGAAAATGTAAATGATATGCGATGATATCGGAGGCCTAAAGCGAAGCGGAATAAATTGACTCTTTGACTATCCCAAGTGTTTTTCGGGTTTTGGTTTTCGGTTTTCGGTTCCGACTGGGTTTTGCAACATTTGTATTTGTTCAAAAGTCAATTTAAGACCCAGAAAAATTGATGCCATTGTTGATTTTCATTTGCATGCCAGTCACACAATCAAAAGTGCTGGGGAAAATGTGGGGACTTTGCAACAAATTATGTTGTTGCCTCAGATTTTTATGGTCTTTGCCATGCACACACACTTAACGCCTATTTTCCACACACCCACCCCCACCCGAAAATCAACCATAAATACAATATTTCCCACAACTTTTCGGGGAAAACAACAACAGATTTGATTTTACTCAGTTTCGGTTTCGAGTCGAGGCCGAAAATTTTTATTGTCCAGCAATATTGAGGCAGGAAAATGTAGGAAAAGCGACGGAATACCCATGAAGTTTGATTTGCTTCATTGAATTGATTTCATTTCATTTGTTTTGATTTGTTTCGCCCCGAAAAACGCAAGAACGCAAATTGGAAACCGGACCCTGGACAACAAAAGCTGGCACCATCTGAATTGGTGAATTGGAGCGCCGAAATGAATACATTTCGGTTGAGTTTGAGGCGTGTTTAGGGGGCAGGCATTTGGATTTGGATCCGTACTCCTATTTGGACTCGGATTTGGATGGGGGGGCGTGGCCGCATTGTGGTTTATGCTGATACTGTTGACTGACATCGGGGTCTGGGCCTGACTTTTAGTAGTAGTTTATTTAGTTGTTGGAGCGATCAACACTTGCCAGATTGCTTTGGCATTAAAGTGTCAGCAAATATTCCGGATTCTGGACTCTGGATGCCTGTGGAGTGGAATGTTGGGCCCGGCATCTGGCAGCTGAATGTCCGGAATGGGGAAAATGGTCCTGTTCCGGTGATGATTTAGCCACATGCGGCTTAATGCCCTCTAAAAGCCTCGACTCCGGTGTGCAGAGAGAGAAATTCCTTGAGTCAATAAGAAAATTTTAATATTTACATATACATTAAAATATTTTAAAAATATAAATCCTTTAAACGGAAGAGTAATTATAAGTATTGGATTTCGAAATGTCTAAATATATTTACCAAAACATTTAAAATTATTAAAACAAAATATAATTCTTAGTCACCACCAATATACTTTATATAATATTAGAAATATTGTAAAATGCAATTTAAATGTTTTTTAAGTTGAGCTATTTTCTATCAGTGTGCCATAGGGTAGGCTCAACAAAATCCCAGGCCAAGAAAGACAAAACATGCCCCTCAATTGAACCCTTTCTGTCTGCCTGTCAACGGCGAATGGCAAGGGCTCTTAGAATGTAGCAAAAACTATAAATTGGGTAGTTACTTGGGCTGAGTTTGACATCTTAGAGATACATTTTATTAGGCCAGATCATAAATCGAACTGGCGATAGCTTCCCTCGATTGCTAGTTGATGCCTGATAACTCTTGTCTCAAGTACCAATCGCTTGTTTTTGTCTTGTCTTTGGGGATTTGGTGTCCAAATAGACGCCACAAATAACAGAAAACCCGCATCGTTACTTTAACCGCTCCCCGGTGCGTTTTTTACGGATCGAAGCCTTTGGCTTTAGGGGCAACTTTTACGATTTCCCAACTGATGACCCAATTAATACGCTGACAACCGACATTTATTTATTGCCATTCATGTAAGCCAAGTTTTTCTGAAGGCGAGAACCGAGACTGAAAAACTTTAAACTTAATGTTCCTTGCTCATCCTTTGTCAATTCCCCAATGAGAAGCCCGAAACTAATCATTATTGAAAACGTGTGGTAAAAACTTTTGTAATGCCCCCCATTGTGTCACGCCCTTTTCCACTGTCACTCTCTCTCAGAAATAAAAAAAGAAAGAAAACTGAAAGGCAAAAAAAAGGGAAACATCAAAAAAAAAAACTGAAAAGTTATAACAAAATAGCTTTGGTCAAATTGTTTTACAAGCCAATTGGGTTTGGTGTCCCTTTTTGGCACTGTCATGTTGCCTTTTTGGAGTCCTGCGGTTCCTAACGCTTCGATTGGCGCACCAAAGTCCCGAAGGCGTTTGGCAGAGGAAGTTCGCCTCGCTTTCGATTCGAAAGAGGGTTATGCTGCTGATGAACTTTAAAATAAAGTTTATGGCAGAATGGTATTTTTCGGTAGAGAGATATAAATTTGTGGGGGATACGGAAAGTTTTGGAAAGGGAAAATGTGCAAATTTTTCAAAATTATTCTGACTTTGAAAATAAACTTAGATTTCCTTTAGCTCTTTGTCTTTTAACTTGTAAAATTTAATTTTTGTAAAATATAAGAATAAACCTTTTTAATAACATTTGTAAGTGCTTAAAATGTATCTATTTTATCCAACTAAATTTTAATGCAAAACAGACTTCAATTAGAAAATATAGCTTTGCCCTGCTCGTTGTACTCCCATTCTTCAGCCTGACCCTTGACCGCTTGCCCCTTCTCTAGATTCTGCTCCTGTTCCTGGCTCTGCAGCATTTGCTGCTGCTGCCCGGAAGTTCCTTCGATTTCCATTTCCTCCCCTGGGGATCTCCGATCTCGTACAGCCTTGTGCCGGGCCTCGGAGGCGGCACAGGCGGCCCTGTAAGCGGCCTTCTTCGTATTGGTGTAGTCCAGTTTGGCGGAACGCAACTGCTGCATTAGCATCTCGGCCCTTTGGCGAGCGGTGTCCACCAGCTGCGTTTTTTCGCACAACTCCTGCTGGGCACCGGATGCAGCTGCCTCGGCATTGCTCAGTGCATCCTCGGCGATTTTCACCGAGCCTCGCAGCGATTGCAACAGCGTTTGCGTCTGCTTTGCAGTGGCAACAGCGGCATTGAGATTGGTCTGAAATTAGGATTAAATTGTATCATGATAAAGAGGTCAACAAGTTACGTTAAAACATTAGGATTGGTCTAAAATTGTGGCTTAAATTGAATAATGAAGATGTGGTCAAAGGTTACATTTATAATATGTTTTAGTATGCGAAAGGCTCTTATGTTTGATCAGCTTATGATTTTTATACACATTTTACCACTAACTACAACAGAAAGATCGCTGATATCGCTTGATATATATCTAGGAGTCTCACCTGAGATCCCACCAGGGAGTAGCTCTCCTCCTGGACGATGATCTCCGCCTCGTGCACCTCATCCTGCAGCTGCTCGAGGATCTGCTGCTTGCCAGCAAGGGCTGCCTCCGCGGCCTTGGCGGCGGCGACGGCCTTGTCGGCCAGCTGGTGCTTCACCTGGCGGGCGGCGGCCAGGGCGGCGGGTGCCTGGGTGTCCGACGCCTTCTTGGCCTCCTGGGCCGCCTTCAGGGCGATGTTCGAGGCGGTCTGCTTGGAGTTGCCGTGCCGCATGCTCATGGAGCTATCCATCCCGGACTGATCTTGGGATCGGGACTGCTGCTGCTGCTGCTGGCAGTTCGAGGAACGCTGGTAGCTGGCCGAGAGGCTGGGCGAGATCAGGAGCAGGTGACAGAGGAGGATGTGGACCAGGATCGGTGGCGATGCAATGCGCATAATTAAGTGAGCCTTCAAAGTTGCTGCCAAGTTTGCCTTCTCAACTCCGGCTTGAACATTTTTACATTTTGAAGTAGTTCCGCCCGGCCAACGTGGCGAGCGTTCTGGGGGAATAAAATGTTTAACAAAGTTTTTTTGTTAGAAAAACTCTGTGTAGCCAGGGCCGCATAACTTTTCCGCGCAATTTAACTTAACGTTCACGAGTTTCCCATTTTTATTTTCTTTTATACTTTATTCACTTAGTTTTTTACCCAGCCCTCCTGCCCTTCTTCGCTTTTCCTTGACATGAAAAGTAGACTAACAATGCATGTGGCAACATTTTTTTTCGGCCTGTTGTTGAACAAGAATTAATTGGGTCGTCAAAGTCTTTCAGCCCCGATAAGCTTTCAGCCTTATCGAAATGGCAGCTAAGAGAAGAAAAAAACAGAGAGAAAATCGGGGAAGGGAAAACGGGAAAATGGGAGCTGGGAAAGGGAAAACCCAAGACGATTGCTCGGGTCATTTGTGCCTTGATCTGTTAATCCGAAAAGGGTTTTTGCCGGCTTCCCATGACGAAAGCCCCGGCTTTTGCCCACCCATTTGATTGAGGGCCCGAGAAAGCTTTGGCTCGCCATTAAGCGAGTAAGTTTGCTATGGCCAAAAAAAAAGGACAGCCACTAGGCGTATGCGTAATAAAATCAACAACTTTAAATTTAAGCCCCCAAACACGCACACACATTTCTCTCTCAATTAGAGATAACAGATAACTTTAACAGTTTAAACTGTGTGTATATGTGGCCAGGACCACAGACCAAATTTGACCAGGGTATGGCTGCTCACCAAAGTCGTCCTCTGGCGCAAAAGTCCGCATTTCCAGCAGGACACCCTCGTCCTTGTTCATGGACCTCGTCACTTGCATTCGCCTTTTTGCGTATTCAAGTGCCTGTGCGGAAGTGTTCCATACCAATCCCCACTCCCCAGTGTCCATTCCCCGAATCGCATTCTACATCTCTTCACACACAATCCCAACCCCACCCAAAAATGACACTCTGAGTGCGGAACGTGGGTGGTAAACCGCATAAAAAGACTCTTCCAGAAGAAATCGATGTGCATGAACATTCAGCCAGCAGAATGCCTGCTCTTTTTCGTACACTGGGAAAAATGGAAATGATTTTAAAAATATAATAAATAAAATATTAAGTGAAATTACTCTTATGTCAATTATGCTTCCTTGAATCATTTATTTAACAGTTTACCTATGGATCGTTTAAACGTATCACCTTTTTTTAATACAAAATCTAAGCTTCTTGGTTCATTTAATAAATATTTAAATATTCAATAAATATCTCTTGAAAAAACTACTTCAAACACAAATTATATATTTTCTTTAAATTTTTCCCAGTGCGCAGAATGATTCAACCAAAACGAAGTTGAAATGCTCTGATGAAAAACATACTGCATAGTCTTAGTGGGGAACTGTATGGAATATGATGCTAAAGGGGCTGCAGAAATAAATGAAAACAAACACATCAATTTTCTGAATGTCTGGTTCTGGTCTTCAGGAAAAACACATAGATCAAACTCAAGGAAAACTCTTGGATCCGATGTGATTTCTTTCTTATTTCTGATTTACTTGCCACTCAAATATCCTGGCCCGATATTGCAGTTTCCCACACCCACATATCATCTGGTTCATCCGATGCACCAAAAGGGGAGGGGTGGAGAGATGAGGTCCTGCCCACAAATTCAATTTCCTTAGCAGCCAGTCCATCGAACATGTCCTGTGCCTCCTGCTAACTGAAAACTGAAAACCGAGAGTCGAGAACCGACTCGTCTATGCGGCGAGGTGGCGAAGTGCCGATGTCGTTCTGGTGTTTGAACCGCATATAGACACATATATTTGCCAGCTCTCGAGTATATATAATATTTATGCCACTGTAAGTGCTTATTGATGTCAGATCTGAAATTGGAATCTGCTTGGGCTTTTGTTCTTATTCCATGCGGATGCACATTGCAGTTAAGGTCTCGATTCGGTTCTCGTTGTTTTGTGGACTCTCAATTAAGCAAGTTGGCATTTTGACATGTCTGAGATGAAACCGAAACTTGTAGGTTCCCCCAATAAGGAAAAATAATCAAAATTGGAAATTCATATATGCGTGTACAGAATACAGACGAAATATTTATAAGACCCAGGCACAAGCCTCGGCCCCCAAGAGGAACGTTTTCGTGGCAAAATGGAGAACGAACCGGGGCCGTTGAGGCCACAGTAAAATTTAATTTTAATGCATAAGCAAATTGAATTTAAGCAACAGGAAAATTGTTCGTCTGGCCACAAAGGTGCCGTGCCGCATGTGGAAGCAAAAACCACTTGCCAGGGAAACGAGCTGGAGGTGGCCTAAAACCACGCAGAGTGCTCCATGCTCAAAGTTTTCACCTAAAGGCGAGCGAGCTAAAAGAGCTCTGAATTCCTTAAACCAACCACAATTACGGAAATGCGGTGCTTTCATCAAATATTTTTAAGAGTAGGACATGCTCGAAAAATTCTTGGTCCCCAAATTAGGCCAAAGGATTAACTAGCACACCGCAAAATTAATTGGTAGAATTGAGAGGGTTTTAATTGTTTCCAAAAAGTTATTAGCACACTCAGAAAAGTAACCAATACCTTAAAGGTAGTTTTTGTCGGAACAATTCAACTTCATGTTATCTTTTTTTGGCAGATGAACTACAAGTTTAACATGACATTAAGAAATCGGCACCAAGAAATTCCCCTCATTTATCCTATAAAGCAATAATTATTAAATTTTATGCAGTGACCCCATATGTGATGTATTTTATTTTCGTATAATCCAAAACCAACGAACTACTTTTGGCTGATCATCCATACAAACTCCTCGTAATTGATCATACCATCACCATCGAAATCGGCCTCTCGAATCATCTCGTCTATTTCTTCGTCTGTGACCTTTTCGCCCAGATTGATCATCACGAAACGGAGTTCAGCCGGTGATATGAAACCATCGCCATCGCGATCGAAGATCTTGAACGCCTCGCGCATCTCCTCCTCGGTATCAGTTTCTCGCATCTGCTTGGCCATAATGGCACAGAACTCACTAAAGTCCAGTAGTCCCTCGCTATTGCTATCGGCCTCGGCTATAAGGTCCTGTAACTCTCCTTCCGAGGGATTCTGGCCAAGGGTGCGCATCAAGGTTCCCAGCTCCCGAGTATTTATCTTCCCGGTGCCGTCCTTATCAAACTGCACAAAGGCGTCCTTGAACTCGGCAATCTGCTCCTCCGTTAACTCGGACATTTTCAAAAAAATTCCAGGGTTTTTTTTCGAATATATCTAGATGTATCGAGATGATGTCAAGGCTACCGATCGTGTGATTTTGAGAGGCCGAAAATGTTTTGAATTTGAAAGGTCCAGGTCCCAACCCCCAAAGCCTACTTCTATAGATCCTCATGTGGTGGACATCATGTTGACAAATCGCACATAGTCTATGTTTCCCTCATGATCGGAATCAGCATCACGGATGATTTCCTCCACCTCATCGTCTGTCATCTGCTCTCCCATGTTTTTCATGATGTGACGGAACTCCGATTCGGATATAAACCCGGTTCCTTGCTTGTCGAACACCCGGAAAGCCGCTATAATCTCATCCTCGGTCGTCATGTTCTCGTACCTCTGAGACATGATGTACAAAAAATCGCTGAGATATAGCTCTCCAGACCCATCAGCATCAATTTCTGTATTTATATCCTGCAGCTCAACATCACTGGGATTTTGGCCCACAGCTCGCATTAGCTGTCTCAGCTGCTTTATGGGTATGACCTTGAGGTCTTGATCGTCGAACAGGGAAAAAGCCATCTCCAAATCCTTAACCTGTTCTTCGGTTAGATTATTGGTGCGGATGATACGCTCCTCTGGTGGCGGAGTAAGGAAATCGAAATCCATGGCCAGGAAAGAGGTTGGGGCTGAGGAATTTTGGGGATCACTGCACCTTCGCTACCAATTTTGAAATAATTTAATTTCAGCACTTCATTTTGAAGTATAAATCAAAAGTTGAAGTCAAAATCATGGTTTTTTTTTATACCTTTATTTTGTATTTTTATAAGAAATTTTTAGAATGTACACTCATTATTTATTTTAAAAAATAATATTTTACAAGCTTAAATAATTATTAAAGGCAAGTATAATGCTTAATCCGATAATGTAGGTCCCGCCAAGAAAGTTATTTTCAAGTCCACATTCCAGATGATCATGGATCATAAAAACATTCAAGTTGATAAAATTATAGTATCCATTTGCCAGTTCTGCAGATTCTAGTTTAAAATTAGAAATATTGTATTATCTTTATATTGGTAAGTACTTACCGTTCCATAAAACACCTCAAGAGAGTGTTACGTCTCCATCATCATGGTTACAAATCGAACATAGTCAATTTTCAGTTCCGTATTGGCGTCTGCGTCGCGAATCATTTCCTCAATCTCATCCTCCTCCATCTCATCACCCAAGTCGGTCATTATCTGACGGAATTCCGTCTCGTGTATAAAACCAGATCCATCTTTGTCAAAGACCCTGAAGGCCAGGATAACCTCATCTTCGATGGTCGAATTCTCGTACCGCTTCGACATGATCCAGAGGAAATCGCTGAGATACAGCTCGCCCGATCCATCCGTGTCGATTTCGGTGATATAGTCCTGCAGCTCGTTTTCCGGTGGGGTGTGGGCCACGGCCTTTAAGCAATCCCTTAGGTACTTAATAGGGATGACCTTGGTATTTTCGTCGTCGAAAAGGGCGAAGGCCGCCTCACAATCCTTGAGCTGCTCGTCATCCAGGGTGTGCGTATGAATGGTTCGCACCTCTGGCGGCGGGCTGCTAAAATCAAAGTCATCCATGGCCAATAACAACTAGTAAGGCGTTGGAAAGTTCGGGTTTTACTTAAAATTTGATTTTACTGAAATTTAGATATTGTTAAAACTTGGTCTGCAAATTAAAACTTTTTAGACTGAATGTATTTTTGAAACTAAAGGCAATGATAGATCGAAAAATGCATCAAAAAGTAAAAGCCTTATTCATGTTTGAATAAGAAATATTCGCTAAAAAAAAGTTTTTCGTAGATTTTTAGGTAAAATACAATTTATTTTCATTTCGTTATCCAATAAAAACATGTCTTTTCTTTCTATAAAAAGTATAACTTAAAATTTTGTGGCGTTACAAATCGAGGTGAAAAACCCTCTTAGGCAAAGGTTCTTTTTATCATAGCCATGAACTCGGTGAAACTTATGCGACCATCTCCGTCAAAATATCGGTCCCTGATCATGTGCATAATGATCTTTTTGTCGCTCTGGAAGTCCGTGATCTGTATCAACTGAATCAGATCGCTTTCAGTAATGAAACCGTCGCAGTCTCTGTCGAACATTTTGAATAGCTGGCACATCTCTCGCTCTTCCTCATTTTCGAAACGCGCCATTACAAAACAGTAGTCCTTGAAGTCGACCTCGCCATTGCCGTCCACATCCGAGGCCTTGAAAATTTCCTCCAGTTCCCTTTCTGTAGGAATCTCACCCAGAGATCGGATCATGCTTCCCAGTTCCTTCTTGGTTATAACTCCTCTCTCATTTCTTATAAGCTGGCTGTAGCTTTGTTTATAGTTTGCCAACCTAGGTCCACTCATCTCGTCCATGGAAATGAAATCGTTTACTTGATCCATTAGAAATTTAAATTTTTTTAGGGTTTTTTCAGCCGAAATATTTGTTTTAAAAAGTAAAGTAAAAATCATAGGAGAGTTGTTTGAAATATATGTAAGAAACTATTTTTTAAATATTTTATAAATTAATACAACATTTATCAGCACATCATTTTCTCCTATAATTTTATACACCAAAGTTGTTTTATTATGAAAAACATTTCTGAGTGTAAGTTAATTGTGAAACTGACATGGTTGTTAAATTCCTTTTCCCAGAGCCCCAATTTGTGACGGGGAAAAAAATTGCATGTGACCACATCGCCGTAATATAGTAACACCCCAGTAAAATAAAACAGGATTTAACAATTAAATTTGCAACAATTTCCCGAATAATGTTTTTATAGCCCTTGGCCACGGCTTCAAGCGTTGCGGCTGTTGAAAAGCATGGGTAATTACATTTTTAATTAAATGCGACGCAGTTTGTTTCGTTTTTATATTATTTTCATTTGTATTTTTGCTGGTGCATTTATACAACTGTTGAGTATTTTTTCTGGGCAGCCATTTTATGCCATTCTCGTCGGTCCCTCGGGGCATAAAATGTTGTTATTTTTTTGTTTTGTTTTTATATTGAGCGTTACGGGCAAATAGGAAAATTATCCAATGCAAAATTTCGAGCAATTTGCATAATTTGGGAGCGGAGAAAGCGAGAACCGAACTGCACAAACCCATATCCCTGGCCATCCTTTCTCACACGTGCGCTCCCCAGTGGAGCCAACAATGGGAACTTCTTGCTAATGAGAAGCAAATCCTGGCCACGAAGGACACCAAGGATTTGGGTTGGGGGCCAAAGTTGAGCCACAAAACAAGGCATTGTCAAGCATTTCTCTGCATAGATTACAACAGACTCTTCGGACCAGAGATGCAGAAATATAAAGCTGAGTTGAAAATTAAATCGTAAGTGTTTTGCAAGTTATATATATTTTGTTCTGGCGAATGATTTAAATGTGCTATTGATTCAAAAGATGTTTTAGCTTAGATTTAAATAGAATCATTCCAAAATAAGAAAATGTGACTTGCTGAACATTCTTCTAAATGAGTGGACTGCATGAAAGCAAATTTATTATTTAAAGCATTTTGAAACTAACCCATTCTTATGACCACAATTGTGCAAATATGTTTATACGATTGTCTCGTAATGCAGCTCGGAATATGTTTGTTGTTTGACTTTAATCAGGCGTAAACAGGACGAAAGGGCAACAGCCGAGCCGCAATCGAAATGGCAACAGACCTTTGGGGGATTTGGATAATTTGCATTTCTGTAGTGAAGTAGGACACACAATCAAAGGGTTTCTATGTGCAAATCTCTTAATGTCTGAGTTGGAGCAAGGACTCTATATGATATTATGCCCGAGTGAGCAGCTCAAAGTAATAGAATTCGGTATGGAAATGCAGATGAAGGTCTCTAACAATTTTGAGCTAGATCAGAAACTGCATTACATGTTCAATTTATTTTGTATAAACCTTGTTTCAAAGAATTGTAAACAATTCAATTTTTAAAGCGCATTCCCAATAAAAATTTAAAAAAAAAAATTCAGGATTACAGAAGTCATAGATGAGTGGGCTAATTGAATGATTTTTGTGTTCATCAATACGAAACTGGCTTTTCCCACTCGCCATTTCAATTAAGCTTATGAGGACTGGGACTCCATTGGCCAAAGGATGGCACACAATGAGTGCCTCCGAAATCCAATTGAGTGGCCACTGGCAGATGGGCATCCAGCAGCTAGGGATCGACCATCGACCAGTTGCAAAGTATTGCCATTCAATCACCGCGGGTTGCAATTCGAGTCGCAGATTTGTCTATGCCAAAGCGTTTTCAATATGCGGATACGTAGAACCAGGGCTCGAACCCGGGTCACAAGTGCAACTACGGAAATGAATAATGGCCAACGGTTGCAATCAGTTGTGGCCCACAATGAGCAGAGGCATTTGTGAGAAATGAATGAATGCCGGAGGAGTTTTCTTTTGTTTTTTGTTTTCCGGCTTCAATCTTGTGCGTTGCAGCTGTCGGTTTAAATCAGTGGTCACCATGGGATGGGGATGGGAATGGAAAGGCAAAGTCCTTGTTTATGGATATCAGGCTCTCTCTCACCTTTGCCAGTGTAGGGTCTATATGTATATATACTGGGCAAACAACGTACTTAAGCCAGACGGCAAAGAAAAAAAAGTGCAGAACAAACCCTGCTCCTTGGGATGGGTCCAGATCCCAAGGGATCCTATGGCCTCTCCTGTTTGTTTCTATTTCACTTTGATGGCACGTGCGTGGAGTGGTCTTGGTTTTGAGCCCAGGTAAGGTGGCTGCCGGGGTGATTCGACTGGAGTGGAAAGGCAAATATGCAAGTCAATAGCAGAATGTTGCCTCCCGGCGGAGTGACGGCTTGGTATACGCTGTACAACAAGTAGAGGACTCAGGAAAAGCCTTCTTTAAATCGAGAGTAAAAGGAATATATATTGTCTATGACTCACGTTCCTGAAAGTCATCGGCAACTCATGAAAATTTATAAAATAAAATAAAAAAAATGGCAGTACTTGAAACTGGATAATTTTATTAAACAGTTGAAGTTAGCAAAACAAATTTTGACTTTAACAAACATATGGCGTTTATGGCTATTGCTATAATAATAATATAACAAATAGGCTTGCTTAATGATTTTGCAAAATGTTTAAATATATTTTAAGAAAAATCAAGTGTTTATAATGGCTCTCAGCTCAGTTTAGCACTATTAAACGCATTAACTTCTATTAAATTTGCAGAGAGCAGGACTTTGAAGGACTTAAGCCTTGCGTAGGGGCTGTAAGGAATTATAGTACTCGGTAAATATTCCCACTTTCCTGTTTCGTTGCGTTCACTCTTATTATGCTGAAAGCATCTGCAGAGCTGCAACTAATCCAAAAACTTAAAATCCAATCTGGAATATAACTTTGTTTGACTTTTGTTTGCCGCCTTGTATTTTCCCCCATTTTCCAAGATTTTCTTTGTTTGCTTTTGTGGCGCAAATTGCATTCTGTGGGTGTCAACAAACGCAGCTCTCTGGACCGCCTTCTCTTGGCCAGGACAGCATGAAACATGATTAAATTACTCATACGCCTCGTGTGTGCGCTTGGACAACAATTTCTATGGCGATCCTGCTTTGCTTTTGCTGTTGTTCCTCTTGCTCTCATTTAGTTAATTAAGTTTTACAACAGCTTGCCACTTGCCCATCCGCCCGCCCCTTTAATTAGTTTTTAATTATTTCAGAGTTGAGCGTTTTCCAAAAATTTTCCGGTGGGCTTTCGGCCAAACAACAACAGGAAAAACAACTAAAAACGGATGGGTCTCGGCCTGTGTTGGACTTTGGCTCAGAGTTTTGGCTTTGAGTTTGAGTTTTAGTTAATTTTATTTGTATTCTGCAAGTATTTGCACGCCCCCTACAAAAAAGGAACTGGGGCTTTGTTCATTTAGCACATTATTTCTACACGCTTTGTTTTTACTGCAGTTGGTTTGTTTGTTGGCTCGTTTGTTCTGGGCTGGCTGAAAGTTTTGTGCAAGCCCATTAGCCTAATAGCCCAAACAGAAGTCGCCGTCAACCTCAGTTGGTTTATATAGTGTGATTAACTTTTGTTGCAAATTAATATGGTTAGAAATTAGTTGGTTACCCCATATTTTTTGAAACTCAATATGAAGGTATCACTTAACAAATTTACCAATGCATATTTAAAAAAAGGAATTTACTTTCACCATGAATATTAAGCAAAGAAAATTTACCATTGCAAATTGAGCGATTACTTTTTATTTGCATTTCATTTCATTTTTTGTTTGACAACAATTTCACAAGCTTATTATTCACTCAGTGAACAAGCTGCCATATTTTAAAAGTGCGTTTACTCTGCAGTCATGTTAAAAAACCAGCGTATCAAATTAAACGTTTCGACCAGAAACACACGTTGCCTTAAATCAAGTAATCTGTATGAAAATTGATGATATTACAGCACTCACATGCCTTTATTTTTATAGTTTGGTCATCAGCATAACACTGATTGAAATGGGCCAGCAAACATTTCACTTTATCAACGTGTGCATATTTAAGCATGTTTGTATCCCCGAGTCTGTGTCTGTTTCTGTGAAAATTGGCTCAAAGGAAGACCCAATGCAGAAGGGAAGTGTACGGCCTAGAACAAATATTTACATGGCTCGGTGTATGGCATTTGCCATAAACTACCGTAAAACAATAAAATTCGCAATAAACCAAATGGAAAGCGGCAACTGCCGGCTCATGTGAAATGCATGCAAAGCAACAACGCAAACAAAAGCCACAATGCAGCACAATTCAACAACAAAGCCAAACGAAACGTTTTTCATAACTTAAATTGCAAAATGCAACGGGGGGTTAAAAGCAGTGAACAAAAAAAAAAGAGTGCTACTGCCTGAAAACGTCAACAGAACAGTTCTGAACAAAGCCGTTTAAACAATGGCCAGAGACGAAAAGGAAATCTTGACTCTGATATATCCTGCAAGAACACAAAGCCATTTAATTTGGATCTGTTAACAGAAGTGCCTTATCTCATTTATTGGTTGAAATTTATCCAAATACTCAGCATCTGCCATAGAAACTTGAAAACTTTAATTATGGTTTGGAGAAAGGGTTCCTGAACTTCCGTGTTTGGCTTGCTAACTTTCGATTTTGGAATAGTTGATGCCTTTACAAATGGATCTTCTTCAATAGGTTCTGAGGGATCGTCTTCAGTTTTAGTTATCTGGGGACGACTGCAAGATCCTTCATCCACATCCGTATCATCCTTCCAGAGATCAGCACCACAGTCAGCTAGAAGATCGTATGGCTTATTTTAGAAAATTGGTTTAACATCTTATCATTGCAATTTACAATATTCATCCATTTTTTAAAGAAGAGCCAAAGATAAAGCCACATATTTTTCATAATTATTAATTTCTATGGACGCAGGTATAAATGGGAAGTAGTTTCTATAATATATTCATAAACTTATAAAAGGCAGGTTTACTTACCACCTGCCTGATGCTGACCTAGAAATGCTAAACCAAAGAGTACTAGAAAAGTGAACAATGTTAGCGACATGATTATTTCAAATGAACTGTGTGCCCTAGCTATATTTCACTTCTACTTATAGGTTCGTAACATACGATTAGTTTCGCTGTTGGTTGAAACTGTAACCAATTGTGATGCCCCGGTTATCGAGTCTAACTAACTACTAAACTTTTATCTAACTTTCTGAAAACTGCATAATCTTGTTAGCCTTCTGCCTGGCAACACTCTATTTTTAGCTGCTCATCTTGATGCTGATTTATCTGTAATCCAACTTACGTTTGAGCCACTTAAGGCCACAATCTGCCTTTTGCCACTTGCCAACTTGCCTGACCCCCGACCCCTGACCCCCTTCGTGTTACAGGTGGCTTTGTAACAAACTTAGTTCAATAAAGTTGGCCCTCGTCTGGAGCCAGGCGCTTTGATCATCGCATCACATGCGTCTAAAGTGGCTTTCCCTTTCCGGCTTACTTTCTCCAGCCAACACTTTTAAAGCCTTTTTGCGCAACCCTCGAAACCGGGGCAACATATTCAGACTTAGCGGCTTACTTTCGCTGGCAATCTCTTTGAAGTGGGCTTTCGCCTTGGATCCGTCGAGAGTAGCAACTGTATCAGCTGTTTGTATTTAGGACCTTTAATTTATTGCCTGTCAAGCTGCTGGTCAGTTCGGTTGATAAACGGCCTAAGCCGATGGCCAGGATTTCTCTCTTTATTTGGCTGCCTATTCGGCATTCTATAATTTGCCTTTGGTCAGAAAGGCACTGGAAAAAATATACAAGTACTTGTTCTTTATATCCATTATATAAGAATGCTACTAGGGTTTTGAAATTACCTATAAAGGTGTCTAGAAGTATGCAACAATATATTTTAAATTAACAAGTACACTTTTTTTCCACTGCAACTTTATTAGGGTTTATCTGACGCCCCTATAATTTTGTAGTATTTATTAAAATGAGACAAACTTACTTACTGAAAAATAATAATAATAAATTTTATGACTTCTGGGAGAAATTAATATATTTCAGTGAGATTTCTAAATAATGTTTTATGATATGAAGCCAATATTTTATTATTGATATGCCAAAATATATTTTATATTTATAGATCAAGCTTATATATTTTACTTTGATATTTATTGTGTACTTTTTCTCTGTGCAACGCTCGCTTGCCACTGTGTGTAAAATTCGCTTGCCTCTGCAGAAATTAAAGCCATGAAGGTCCCTCTCTATAAGTAGGAAGTTGTTAGTTGCTGGCAACATGAGAAACAGCAAGTGCAACAGCAACATCCAACTTGTAGTGCACTCTGTGTTGCTGTTGTCGAGTGCACGACGCCGTATGCAATTATCACCCGAAAAAATACTACAGGGCCAAGAGTGCTCCTGCTGGTCACAGGTAGCAAAAATAAAGGGGCGAAAAAAGTAAAACTACTAGCTACAAATTCTGCCAACATTATGTGCTCAAAATGTAAATGTCATTTGTGTGCCGAGCACGGTGCCGTTGCCCAAGTGTTGCAACATTTGAGAAATGTGTGTTGCCAGTGAAGTGGCACCAGAACAACCAGAACAACCAGGACAACCAGGACACGGTCCAGTGTCCACTTGCCCACACTCCATGAATAAATGTTAAAACACAATCGAGAGCCGTAAATTCTGAGCAGTCATCAGCTCCTGAAATAGGTGTGAGAAAAGGCAAAGGCGAGGAAAAGCCAGTACAAAGGAGAAATAGGGGAAACGAGAAAATTCCATCCGGAGGGAACAATGGAGCCCGGGAAATGTCTGTCACGAGGCTCGAGCATGAAACAATGCAAAGGAGAACAGTCTAATTGGTATAATAAAATGTCATAAGACGAAAGAGCAATGCAGCAGGTTCAGGCTCCAATAATTCGCCGGGCACAAAGGGAATAAGTATCTGTATGGATGTGATGCCCCCTGAAGGACCGATTCCGATTGATTGCAGTAACTACATATTGATTTGTCTCCGATTAGACAGCTCCGAACGGAGGTAACAGAGGTAATTTCACCCGATGAGAAGGAGACAAAGAGATTTCAATCAATTAGAGATAATTTCACAACAGCTACATTTTCTACGAACATCTCACTTGACATGGCACACAATGGAATGGGATTACTAAGGAATGGTATATGGGACTATGGGATACCCAGCAATATAAAATTGAAATTCATATAAATATAATTTAAAATATTGCAAAACTTCATAAGAAACTTTTATTTTTTAATTTTATAAAATGTTTTTAAGGGTTCTTTGGACAAACAGAAGGAATATACCCCTAAAATACCTAGTATGTGTGCAAAAAAACCCGGAAAAGATTGCTCTAAACTGGCAGCTGCCACTAATACCCAATGCCACGCCCCCAACCGCCCATATATCAACTGTCGATGGCTATAAAGCTTCGCATCCTAACATCTTCGCATCTGCTGGTGCTCCATTCCACCAGCGCGAGTATACAATCAACAAAATTAGTTTCATTTGGCCAAATGGCATGGCCACCAGTCGCAGCATTTCGACCCACATAACAGACATGGCTTAGAAACGAATTTAAGGGGGGTGTGGGGCCGTGAGAAATGGCAAAGTAGAGCCCCCTACTCCATATACACGGCATACTATATATCCCTGCCTTTGATGGCTCTACTCGCTTTTGATCTTCCCCGACTGCTGATAAATGATAAGATGCCGGAGCTGAAAGAAAAATGCTGCAAAGTGTGGAAAATTACGCCGCAGGTGTGTGGCCCATCATCAGTTTCCATCGTGCTACTTCGAGTATACTTGCAAATAATTAAAAATTTCTCAATCTTTTAGAGAAAATGTTATACAAAAGTAAGCCTTAAAAGTAAGCCATTGCCAATTAGCGGAAGAAAGAAAAGGAAAAGTGCGGTGAAAACTGTCTAACCTGTGGACCCACCCCCCCCCCCCCAAAGTTCTGGTGTCCTGGAAAACGAGGACCCCCTGTAAGCTCAGGGAAAACGACTGGCGGGAAAAGGGGAAAACTGTCTGTCAACCTACAGCCATAAATAATGGCCAGCTGCTGGCTGCTGCCCGCAATTTATAAATCTGTTTATTGTAACATCCTGTGACTCGCGACTGTAATTTATGTATCTGGAATCTAGTTAAGTCCGTTGAAAATCAGCTAATGAGCGTCCGATTGCAGCTCGGCTGGGTTGGCAAAATATTTACATAAAAACCAAATTACTATATATGCCGTATATATATGCACATTGTTGTTGTTCAACCAAATATAGCCCTTTTGTCTTTTGCTGTCTTGTTTTTTTCCCTCTCGTGTTTACACAAAGTTTTCCGTTGGCTACGTTTTGGTCAACTGACTGTCAATATTTTATTGGCTGCATTTCGCTTTTTATATTGTATCCCATGGATGCACATGTACATATGTATACCTTTTAGTGCAGCGGGGCCGACATATATGTATGTAAATTTACAAACCCACAGAAACGAATATTCCCAGAGCTGACCAAATGCGCAATTTAATTTATGTCATGAAAAAAATGTGGGCAAGCAAGAATATGCAAAAATACTCGAAATATACGATGCTCAATGCCGCGAAGAAGGACATATCGATGATCAGGATAACTATGTGGTTTTAAGTATCTTAAGAACAATAAATAATTTTAAAAATATTTTTTTAGAATTATTTAATGTTGATAAACCTTACTTTTCAAAGGTAAGGAATTTTTGTAAACGTAAAAGAATTTCTAATAAAGAATGGATGAATGCTAGACCAAATTAAAAGAGCTTTTCCACACATTTCCCTTTCCCATTTTCCCCCAAGTTTTCGTATCCTTCCGTTTTCTGTTTACGTTTGCTCTCTAATTGTATATTTTTTTTTCGGTATTTAAATGAAATATGTCTTCTCCCCACACCCGTTTTACCCGCAGTTTAACCCAATTTATTTTTTTGGTCCGTTTTTCCTCCACGAATTTTCCGGGCTTTTCTTTCGGTTTTGCATTATCTTCTGCTCGTTCTGGTTCTGCTCTTTTGTCGAGTGCATTGCCACTTCGATGCCCCTCGTTTCCTGTGTCCTTCGTCCTTGGTTTCCATCAACACTCTCATCATTTCCTTTGTTTTGTGCTTTTTTTATGTATTTTTAGTCATGTCATTCAGTAGGGTTCTTCTTTATCACCCACCCAAACCTACATTTTTTATGTCCTCTCATTGTCCTTTTTGGGGTGGTGGAAAAATAGGAGAAAGGAACTGGAGCACTTTTATATGATGGTACCCCGGTTGCAGCTTCTGTTTTACATTGGCATACATATTTGCATTTTTTCGAATGCTTTACAACCCCTTAACCCTCTGTTCCCCCGATCCCCTTTTTTTCCAGATCCTGCTGCTTGTTTTAATTTCTTTTGCCAGAGTTTTATTCCTGTTTGCCCCACTTATTTTTTTTTTTTCGGTCCAGTGGGCGGGGTTTTAATGACAGCAGAGCAAAACTCCTTTTTCAGCCCCGCCCACCGAAGTTGCATTTCAATTGAATTGTCAGCGTTTTGCAGTGAAAAATGTGTCATAAAATGTTGGCTCGTTAGGGTTACAATTTGTGTAAATTTTATTTTTCGGCAGATAAAGTTTTTGTAAATGAAAATTCAAATTTGCTGATTAAGTACTGGAATGGCAAGTAGCCAATAAATAAAAAAAAGCCCGGAAGTCCATATAATTCCCCCTGCTGTTTGATTTATCATTTAACTCATAAATGAATTAGTTGTCTAAATGTAAACAACAGTTTCAACAGTATTATAAAGTTCTTCCGCTGCTATTGTTTGTGGTTTAAATTTTTCCTGTTTTTTTTGGTTTTTTTTTGCAATTGCCCTTCAGACCCACTCAATGCTCAATTAATTTATAATTTAAATGCACATTGTGTGGCTTAATTATGCTCATTATAGAGTCATCGCCACCATTGTTCGCCGGCTGTCATGAAAGTTGGTCGGATTGGTGTTACAGCAGAAATAATTAATGTTTTCATTGGCGAGTGGGAGTGGGAGTCGGAAAAGAGTGGTTATCTATATGGACCTGCA